GTAAGTACACACGCAGCTTTTCCAAGAGACGAGTGAGGCGAGCCGTTCGTCCGTGTGTTTCTGTCGGTGATTTTGTGAAAGGGAGGAACATTGAAATCTCCAGAGTGCCTCGCTGAGGACTATCTCGCTGGGGACTTAACAGGGTAACGAATGTATTTTAGAATACCTGGGGAACACCGCTCGCTCGCCCCGTCGCTCCTCTTAAAACCGAGACGCGGACCTAAAAGTTACACGAGCCTCTTGAAAAAATGGAAAGAGGAAGGAGGGGAAAAAAGGTCAAAAAATCAATTCCCAAAAACGTCTTGGTTCTACCCTATATATGTATTAATGTTTGTGTGTGTACCCTTGTCGTGTACTCTCAGGGGATTCAGTTCACATTTTCTTTTATCGTACGAGTTAAGATACGGTTGTCATATCCGGTTTAAGTCGGGTTAGGAGGCTGGAATTCCCTGAAATAATAGGGCATGTTCATAGGGGTATTATAGGCTCATTAGGGTGTAGCTGTATTAATCCATTACACCTTTTTCGTTTGTGATTTGCGAAGGAAATTGTATATATATCCGTACCCATATCCATGCGTCTAGGTTAAAAAAATAATACAGAATACAGTTCTTACGTAATTCTACCTATATGAGTAGATACCGGTAGTTAATTTATATCTCATTATCTACCCGAATGACCCTCACCTTTATGCCCATCTGCCGTAGAGGATTTCCCCCTGTATGAGGGTTTTAGTCCGTGGCATAGCACTGTCATCCTGGCATCACCCGCGCGGCAGTATGGTTCGCCATTTTGAATCGGCTTGGGTAGAAAATTATCCATTTCGTCTTTAAATGTTAATAGAGAGAGTCATTTTGCGTAACAGTTCGCCATCTTTCCGTATTTTCTGCGTGGGGGTTTTCAGGTCTGTCGTTTCGCGTAATTGTGTGTTTGTCTGTTTGTTAATGTTATATTTGTGGGTGGTTTTAATGTTGGGATTTTCTGGTGGTTGGTGTGTGTTGAGGGGAAGGAATGTGGGTTTATGTGTAGGTAATGTTGGTGGAATGTTTGTTTTATGTTGTGTCACGGAACTTGTCATGTGCGGAAACAAACACATCGTGTACGCAAACTTTCAATTTTTTTTTTCTGTTGTTCTTCAGCATACGCATACGCAGGTAGGCCTACATACACGTACACGTACATAGATTCGAGATTACACACACGCGCGTACTCTCACACACACACACACACACACACACACACACACACACACACACACACACACACACACACACACACACACACACACACACACACACACACACACACATCTTCCCTCCCCTCCCCCACCTAACACCCCCTTCACCCATCCCCCCTCCCCTCACCGTACCCCCTCCCTCCCCTATACCTACCTACCCCCCCACCCAAACACCCCTTTACCCCCCATCCTCCCCCCCCCCCGAGTCCTCCTCTCATTAGGTATGCCCGTCTTGTCTAAGGACTTACAAAGGGGGGGAGAGGGGGAAGAGGGGAAGAGGGGGGGGGGTAGGAATCTCCCCCGTTCTCAAGATTGGTTCCGGGTCCAAGAACGCCCAGACGCCGAATCAATGGGGAGATTAAGGGGCGGGGGGGGGGGGGAAGGGGAAAGGGGGAAAGGGGGGAAAAGGGGGAAGAAAGGAGGAGAGGGGAAGGGAAAGAAAGGGGGAAGGGGAAGGAAAAGAAAAAGGGGAGGGGAAAGGGGTAAGGGGAAAAGAAAAGAGGAGAGGGGAAAGGGAAAGGAAAGGGGGAAGGAAGGGGAAAGAAAAGGAAGGGGAAGAAAGAGGGAGAGGGAAGGGAAAGGAAAGGGGGAAAAGGGAAAAGAAAGGAGGGGAAAAGGAAAAGAGGAAAGAGAAAGGGAAAGAAAGAGGAGAGGGGAAAGGACAAGGGGGTAGAAAGGGAAAGAAAAAACAAAAGAGACGAGGGGAAAGAAAGAGTAAAGAAAGAGAAAAGGGGAAAGATGAATAAAAAGCTAAAGGAGGAAGGGGAATGAAAGTGGGTAAGGAGAAAAAAAAAGAAAAGAGGGGTAAGGGAAGGAAAGGGAAAAAAAGGGGAAAGAAAGAGGAAAAAGGAAGAAAAGTGAAGAAGGACAGAGCAAGTGGGAAAGGGGAAAGTGGTAAGGGAAAGAGGGACAGATTGGAGAAAGGGGAAAGTGGTCAGAGGAAAAAACCAAGGAGCTTGATGCTTAGGAAAAGGGGAAATAAGTAAATGGTAAGGGGAAATAGAAAAGGAAAAAGGGGAAATGGAAAGAAAAGGGAAAGGGGATAGAAAGAAGGGAAGGGAAATAGAAAGAAAGGGGGAAAGAAAGAAAGGGAAGGGAAATAGAAAGGGAGAAAGGGGAAGGGAAATAGAAAGAAAAGAGAAAGGGGAAAGAATAGAAAGAAAAGGAAAGGGGAAAGAAAGGGAGAAAGGGGAAGGGGAAATAGAAAGAAAGGGAGAAAGGGAAGTGAAAGGGGAGAAAGAAGGATAAGGGGAAAAGAAAGAG